TTACCATATTTACTCTATTAGACCAGGCTAAAAAAACTGCCATATTCACTTTATTAGACCAGGTCCAAAAAATTACCATATTCACTCTATTAGACCATGCCCAAAAAGCTACCTTTTTTAACTCTATTAGACCATGCCCAAAAAACTACCATATTCACTCTATTAGGCCAGGCTAAAAAAACTGCCATATTCACTTTATTAGACCAGGCCCAAAAAACTACCATATTCACTCTATTACACCAGGCCAAAAACACTACCATATTCACTCTATTAGACCATGCCCAAAAAATTACAATATTTACTCTATTAGATCAGGTCCAAATAATTACCATATTTACTCTATTAGACCAGGTCCAAAAAATTATCATACTTACTCTATTAGACCAGGTCCAAAAAATTACCATATTTACTCTATTAGACAAGGTCCAAAAAATTACCATATTCACTCTATTAGACCAGGCCCAAAATATTCCCATATTCACTCTATTAGACCAGGCCCAAAATACTGCCATATTCACTCTATTAGACCAGGCCCAAAATACTCCCATATTTACTCTATTTGACCATGCCCAAAAAATTACCATATTTACTCTATTAGACCAGGTCCAAAAAATTACCATATTTACTCTATTAGACCAGGTCCAAAAAATTACCATACTTACTCTATTAGACAAGGTCCAAAAAATTACCATATTCACTCTATTAGACCAGGTCCAAAAAACTACCATATTCACTCTATTAGACCATGCCCAAAAAGCTACCTTTTTTTAACTCTATTAGACCATGCCCAAAAACTACCATATTCACTCTATTAGACCAGGCTCAAAAAAACTGCCATATTCACTTTATTAGACCAGGCCGAAAAAACTATTATATTCACTCTATTACACCAGGCCAAAAACACTACCATATTCACTTTATTAGACCAGGCCCATAAAAACTACCATACTTACTCCATAGATTTGCGTTACTACAATTTCGGGATTCAGGAAGGTCTAAAAATTTGAAGTGTACTGAAACACACACTCACATCATTAAAAAAATATATTACTGCAGCAACTCAGTTGAGAGGATTATTTGCTTTAAAAAATTACAGATTTGAAACTTAATTGCTGCCTCATCCAGGTGCATGGGGACACATACTACTAAGAAACCATCAAAGACCGGTCGTACAGCGACAACATTCGATAGAGACATACAGTATTAATCAATAAAAAAAAACGTTATCTCACAGACTCTACATAAATAAATAATTATTAGCTCTAATATTGAAAAGTCTCAATATTTAATCTAAAAGCCAATGAGCAGCAATAGACAGGGATTTAAAGTTTATCAGCAATGCTGAAAGAAATTTCATGAAGCAGTAACTTCTACCATGAAATTTAATAACACACCATCAACACTTAATTGTATACTCATTAAATCTCAATTCTTTCTGAGTTTTAATAATTGATAATATAATAATACTTTTTTTCATATAAGTTAAATGCAGAGATATCTTTTTTCGCATTCTGAAAGCTGTTTCAAATCTGAATAAAGCCTTGAGGTGGTAGAGGCTCTTTTTGCTTTTAGGGCTTATCAGATAAGCAACCAATCAGAACACATGTTACATGCTGCTTTTCTAGTAAGAAGTGCTCTAGTTGGTTGACAAATTACATCAGATCCCACATGAGCATCAACCAATCAGAACACGTGTTACAGGCTGCTTCTTAGTAAGCAGTGATCTGATTGGTTGACAAATTCCATTATCATATTTTAAACAAAATTAATTCAGCATACTGCAAGAAAAGTTCAATAATATGTAATACAAAAAGATAGAATTATAAACATTAAACAAGCTACCACACCAATGGACAACAGAACTGGAAGTGAAAAAGGCGAAAGCTGTCCACATCACAGAAAATAATATACAAACAAGCAGAACCAGAATGCAAAGTCACTATAGGTACAAACATATCAGGACTGTAGCCAAAGTTAAAAAAGTCAGTGTTTTAAGAAGAAGATGAAAAAACACATCTAAAATAAGAAATTCAAAACAGGTGAAAGAATAAACCTGCTTAGAATTTATTGCAGGAATGGGTCTGTTTATTGTTGCCAGCCTTTATGGATATCATCTCTGTTCCCATATATGTACATGTAATTGGCCATTGACCTATTTATCACACATAGGCCAGGGTAACTTCAATAAATACAAGTTGTAGACCATCATTTGGTAGTAACAGAATGCATATTCAAGGTGATACACCTGCAATAGTGTATAGATCATATTGTCCTTCAAACACATTCTTGATTTTTTTTAATTTGATTTTTTTATAAATTGAAAACATCTAAATAAACCACTGCCTTGCACAGAATCATTGGGAAACTAGTAGTAACATGTATGGCATGGTTTCATACAAATTAATTCCAATCCCATATAACGCTGCTAAAATATCAAGACCTAAATGAATTGTAGTGTCTATAATTTTTTAATGCACATTAATCACTACTACGTAAAGCTTTTTTTTTTTCAAACTCATGGCTTCGGGAATGTGTACCACCTAGAGAGAAGAGCGAGATAGGGAAGAGAGATATATACATATAATAACCAATCTGTAGATAAAGGCTAGCAACTCATAAACAGGAAGACCAATCCACTGAATTATAGTATGACTGTCATGGGAAGTGTTGATTATTGTAAAGTTAGATTGTAAAGAGAAATATGAAAAAAAAAAATATGAAACGAAACCCCAACTGTGGTGGCAGAAAAAAGAACAAGAAGTGTTCTCTTTATTTATATGTCCAAATTATAAACAGAGAAAAAGAGACAAAAAAAGGTGGTGGGAGGAGAGGGAGTCCCTAAATTCAATCTTTGGCTTCAGTACCATACAGTCGAATGTTGAATGGTATTTGTAATATTGAAACACTGACCCAAAATTTAACACGAAAAAACGTGAATGCCTTAAAAAAACTAACATTTCCTGTCAAAAAAGGAAGAAAAGTATAAGGTATTTATCATGGTCTTAAATATCAGCGTAAGACAAATAAACAAAATACCAAATACAATTTTCTAATTCTGAGCTGAAATGCTTTTTTTTTGACCTGCATAACACATTTTTCTAGTTCAATTGTGGGACGGTTCATCGTTGATGGTTACCTTTGTTTTATCTTCTAGGAAACCCTCAGAGTTGTAATATTTGAACTGGAAGATACAGGGCCAAAGGTCAAAGTTCATGATTGACAGGACCATTAACACATATACGAGTACAAATTAACTGGACATTTTAGTTCAATTCCAATATATTATATAAAACACACAGTAAATGCATGAATTGACTGTAAACCCATTGGAACATTCAGAGCCGTTCATTAAATGTCAGACATTATAATATGGAGATTAAATTTGTTCTAAATGCTGATTCTAGTAATTAACCGACTTGTTCAGTGAAATTTTTTTTTACGATTTGTTTTTAAATATCAGAGTTTTGGTTTCAATTATTAACTCATTAAACAATGGAAGTTATGTCTTAAATAGTTTGACAGCAAATTTCATCCAAAACTGTCATGATTGTTACTCTTGCAAATGAAACATGTCACACTAGCTACTGAAAGCCTTCTTCATCCAAAAAAAAAAGAAGAAGAGAGGCCCTTTAATACTAGATGGAATGTAATCGAGACAAAATGATTAGAAACTAGTTGTCCAGCTTATAGCCACACTTGCTTCTTTTTTGTTCAAAGTAATTCTGTTTTAGATCATGTGATCAAAACATGACTTTTGTAATTCATGACAAACGAATGTCATGATTATGTATGGAACTCACTTTTTTTGGGAGGGGAGGGGGATAATGACAACTCAGCAAAGTATTAATTGAGTAGTTTATCTTTTATTTGCCAAGTTTATTTCTAAATTTTGTTTTAAAACAAGCAGCATTCTACTTGCCAAAGAAACCTCTCCAATATAAAAAAAAAAATTCTATAATAAAGCCTTATGTTAACGAAATGAAGTGAAGATTGGTTATTTCCATTATATATCGGTGTCATCATGGTAAATCCACATTTCCACAAGCACCTCTCAAAACAATATTCCGACTCGGATGACAAATTTCCTCATCTGATCTACAGTAATTCAGGCTTTCATAAATAAATTGACATTCAAAAGTAAGCTTTTCTCCTCACAAAAAAAGAAAATTCTAAATGCTATACATTTTACATATTTTAATAAGAATATGCATCACGTTCTCAATGACACAAAATAGTAACAGTTCACATAAATTATTATTACTATTATTAGATCAGCCGAAAAACAAAAAATCTAAGATTTAAATTAAGTCTGACAATAAGATTATTAATTTTGATAACAAAAAACGCCTAGACTTTAAATACAAGCGTAAATTACAATTTACGTCAATATTAAACACAGCATGTCCTGCGACAAGTTTTCAAAGCGTACAATCAATTCCAGCAAACTATACGCATAATAAATATAGTCATAATTTGTTTTTCCTAATGTAGCTAGCTCTTTTCTTGACAATATACGAACACTAGTCTTTAATTCACTTTATACTTTGGTTCTTCAAAAGCCATCAGTTTATCTTACGATTACATCTAGTCTTTTCAATTGGACTGAACACACACCGAGTCTGTCTGGGGGAGATAATCAATCTTCATTTGAAAAACACCTGCCAACTCTGCGCCCGATTAAAATATCTTGCAAAGATACCTACATCCAGGAAGATTGTTTACATTTTCAATTACTCTGCTAAATTAAGCTTCTAATTTCAATTAATTAAAACAATAGTGTTAATACTAATTGATGATTAGATGTGGGAAAACTTATAAAAATTTAATAAGCAGTTGAAATAATAAGAGAAAAAGGAAAAAAGGAGATGTATAATTATAAATAAATATAGCTTTAACCCCCCACCCCCCTCTCACACACAGTGGTATAACCCTACCCTGCATCTATATACAGAGGGCCATACCAATGTTGGTGAACATATAGGGATGGAAAGCATTCCTACCTGCAGTAGTCTTTCTGCAGCTTTCTTCTTTGCAACAAATGCCGTACCACTAGCATTTTTAGCAATCTGGATTTTGGCCATCCTGGCTTTCTGTAAAGATAAATGAACATTATATTAAGCATGTTTGCAAGAAATTAGCTTGTTTATGGACATTCAAACAAATAAATTGGGATGAAAAATTATCAAACTATTTTGTTTGGAAAGTGTATGACATTTTCTGTGCGCGAGAAAACCCTGCTAAAACAATAATTTGTAACTGATCAGAATCCTTAACCGTTTCTGACACTCATAAGTACTACTAAATGACCATATTTTGGCCACATAGAAACCAGAATTTTCCATAAATGTTTAACCATTTTTTTGAGTCAAATTTAATTTGGTAACAAGATACACATACTTCATTACATTTATGGTCAAAATATTAATATAGCTATGAAAAATACACAAAAAAAACAATAATAGATTATGACCGACAAATCAATATTCATAATGATGCTTTGCAAATATTGAGTGGAAGCTTCATAACATTCTGAATGCTGCTGGTAGATTTACCAACAAGTTTTATGCTACTGGTGTGATATGCGATGAAGAATCCTAATTTGAAGTCATGTGATTTGTGAGATATGATCACTTTAAATCAGAACTACAAACAATGATTTAATGATTTACAATGTATATGTTAATGTAATGTTTAATTGCAATCAGTCAAGTCATGTCAGAGATATGGTTCTGGAACTGTATTTGTTAATACAAAATGTCCAATAGTTGATCATCGTTAATGTTTATGAATGATAGCTGCTTATGTAAGACATAGGTCCGGGTCCGCAATGACAATAATGCTCAATTTTGATATATTTCAAACATGGTCACTAATCGGCCATCTTGAATCTGATCTTCGAACAAATATACAGTATATGCATGACATTATGTACAATGTATATATGTACAAATATATATCTTTATGTGCTACACAATGTATCCATAAAGATTGAACATTATTGGTCAACGTATATCAAAGATATATGGCTCTGAAACTAAGGGTTTACACACCATATCTTGGGTGTACATGTACCACATCTTGTACCACATGACCAAGATGTGGATACAGAATGGCAGAAATCTTTATGAAGGTTTAGCGAAAAAATAATGGCCGCCATTCAGCCATCCAAAACCAGACAAATTGCAAGTGCATGCATCCCACAATGTGTGATGAATGAGTGAAGTGTAAATGTGATCAGTTAAGGCTGAACGGAGACTAAAATTCACATGATAAACAATCCTTGCAAATATTCGCAAAGCATGTATTATATATTTTTGGGGGACCTATGAAAACGCTGATAATCTCACTAGCTTTTGTTAACACAATTAAACCCTTCCAAATGTCCACTGTAATGCCATTGTTAGAAATGTTTTCCATCGATGCCCACATGAACCTTAATGAGATCAATGCATGGCTTTTTTGCATATCCTTATCTCAACAAATCCTTGCTTCACACGAATATAATCAAACAAGTTGACTAAAAAGAAAATGACCAACGCGAATTCTAACACTCTAGAGTACCCAATTATTTGGTTAGAGACACTGGTTTAACAATTTTTACAGAACAGCGAACAAGAATCATCAAAGTCTATGGTAAACATTTGGTGTATAGATATCACTCTTTATAATAGCATCATTTTATTGACTTCAGAAATGTGAGTAACAAATTAAACCATGTGACCTTTAATAGAATACAAACAAACTGTAAATATCTTGTTCATCTCGACATGCGTGTTCCTAATACTGGATAAAGTGACATGATAATTTGATTTCACTAGGACAATAATGAACCATGGAATATGTTTCAAGTTTATTTGTATCAGTAGGATTCAAGATCAAAGTTATTTACACATTCCTTGGGAACAATTTATAAACTGGAAACCTTGTCTGCATGTGAATAAATGTTTTTAATT